GATATTGTATGTGCAATTTAATATTGTTTACGTTGGTAAATTGAGTATTTATTCCTATTGTAACGTTTAATTACGATTTTTTCGTCTTCGTTGTGAAGTTAAATTATATTTTATGTTTGTGTTTTTTTAATATTTTCAGATTCACCATTGCCTGAGGGAGCTGATTTAATAGAAATCCAAGCATTTTCTAATTTGATCTCCAGTGATTTACTTAGTGATGAAGGTACTTCGATCCTACTAATATTATAAATGCGAAAGTTAGGATGTCTGGATATCAGGATGTCTGGAAATTTGTAATTCTTTCGCGCAAAAACTACCGAACAGATTTTGATGAAACTTTACAGTATTTTTGTTTATAACCCAGAATAACATAACATATAGGCTATAATTTATGACGATCTGTGAAAAACTAAATTTCTTTAATTAGTGACATTTTTATGTATTTTTATAAGTAATCAATAATAGGTAAAAAGCTTTATAACTATTTTCAGTAAATTATATTCGGCTTCGACGATAGAAGTTTGATTTCGCCACAGTGATGCCAAATGTTGTTCATTATCATGTATGAGAGTAATATCTTTCTGATACTGCTCGGCAAACTTCTCATCTAGGACTCCAAACAGTGTATTAGCCACTGAGCCCACTGCGTTGATTAGACCGCGTCGCCTGCGCGAGCGTGTGCGCGTGTGTTGCGTCATCAGTATCGTATTATAGTGTTGCAGTTCGTCGTAGCTGTGACGTAGCTGCCATAGAATGACGTCACAATGCACTTCTTCGTTCAGTTTCTTGCATGTATCTTCCAAGTAATTGAAGTAATTTTCGAATGTCTTCATCCCTTGCCAGTATGGTTCCATCTTGTAATAAACCACTACAGTCCAGTCGTCTCTTATTACTTGCATATCCGAAATTTTATCGAAATAAATTCCTTGGTTTTGTTTCAGCGGTGTGTTTACGAAGGTGCATGATGTTGTTGTAAGTATGCTCATAAAATAAAGTAGAGCCAATACTATTGATTTAAAGTTGAAACCAATGTTTTTCACGCGTTTCTTGTTTTCTTCATGTATTGGAGATACACTTGCTGTATTAACTTGTTTGCTGTCTTGATTTGAGTTCTGATTGATAGGCAGTAAAGATAATTTTACTACCGGACGTCTAAGGTAACCGTTCTTGGTTTTTAATGAAACTACTCGCACGTGTCCATCGGGGCCAGGGTGGAGTTCAACGACGCGCCCCATGGCCCACCGTCCCGATGGCAAGTTGTCGTCGTGTATGACTACCAGATCATTGATTTTGATGTTTTCTTGATTTTGCTTCCACTTGCCTCTGGTAGTTAATTGAGTTAAGTACTCTGAACGCCATCTCTTCCAGATGTCGTTATATATTTTTTGACATAGATACCATCTTGTTCTGAGATCTTGCTCTGTTTCAAATAATGTTAGCACAGGTCCACTTGATAGGAAGTGCGATGGAGTTAGGTAATCCAGATCTTCTGGATCTTCACTGATGGCACACAATGGTCTTGCGTTTAAACACCCTTCTAGCTGTGATAATACGGTCGAAAATTCTTCGTACGTCAGTTTTTGTTCGCCGACGACGCGTTTGAGGTGGTATTTTAAGCTCTTTACTGCGGCCTCCCAGAGGCCGCCTGCTGAAGGCCAGGAAGGGGCGTTAAAATGCCATTGAATGTTCATCTCTGTTATTTCTTGCATAAAATGACTGTTGTTTTGATGAAGAGTAGATTGAAGTATCTCGTATTCTTGCTGTATGGCTTTACTTGCTCCGATAAAGTTGGTGCCATTGTCACTGTAGATATGATGTGGCTAGGTCAGAGACAAGTTCTAAGTGTACAGCCTTTGTCGCCATACACACGAACACTGCCACATAACCCTTTGTGCACTTGATGCCACGCCCTTTGCTGCTCTTTATCATGATGTGACCCGTAAAGTCTACGCCGGTGTGATAAAATGGGCGGGATGGGTTGCTTCTAGCGTGTGGTAAGTCACCCATGATCTGATGTTTCTTGTTTGTGTCGTATCGCTTGCACTTGACGCACCCACGTAGGCGCTTCTTGATGGCCCTGATGCCACCCACAATCCAGTATCGTTGACGAAGGAATGAGGTCGTTAAACGTGCCCCACCGTGGTAAGTGAGAGCGTGAGCTTCATCGATTACGTACGGTGACGCACCGTACACTGACTATTAATGTTGCTAATCGATTCTAATTAATAAGTTAGCGTATTTCCTTGGTCGACGTCGCTAACAATCTCCCCCGCAGTGCGAAGCACTCCCTCTTCCGGATGCGACGTCTTGGCAGGAACCAGGACTACCACTCGTCGCGTCGGTTGCCGTAGCACTCCTCCGGGTGTTCGCACGTCGAGGACTCGTTCTCTTCTGTCCGCACCAGGGTATACCCGCCGTACTTTCTCTCGTGGCCAAGAGTCTTTTGGTGGCGTTGCGTCGAATCTCAAGGCGACGTCGCCGACTTGAGGGTCTTTTGTCTCCCGGCCGGCTATCTTCCTTGGCATCAAAGTTGGCAGGTACTCTTTTTGCCATCTTCGCCAGAAGTGGTCCGTCAAGCGCTGCGCTGTCCTCCAGTTCGCCTTCCCGATGAAGTCGGGGTCCTTGAACACGCCCGGCGTCATCGCTCCGCAGGATCTTCCATTCGGGAAGTGGTTCGGCGTGAGTCTTTCTTCGTCGTTGGGATCCGCGCTGATACAGGTAAGTGGACGCGAACTCACAATGTGTTCCGCTTCGAGGAGGAGCGTGTGCAGGACTTCTTCCAGTGATGTCTTTTCTTCCAGGACGGCCATTAGTGTCGTCTTCACCGTGCGGACCCTTCTTTCCTAGGCACCTTCCATGTTGAAACATCCTGGTGGGATGATCATCCAACTTCTTCTTGATGGGACACTGATGTGCCTGATACCCTCTGCTGGTCTTCTTCAGGACACTGCGAGCCTGTTTGTCGGCGTCGTTGCATGGCCGACGTGGTTCCACTCCGATGTTCTCTTTCTCGAAGTGTTGGTGAACCAAGGCTTCCGTTCCATCTTCCACTAATCTGCTGTGGTGCACTAACTTCACTGGATCACTTCTTCCAGTGTTGCATCCATGCAGAACCCATCCAAGGCTGGTCAAAGAGGCAACTGGTTCGGAGGCCTTCCCTCTGCGTAGTCTCCGTGTGACTATCAGCCCCCAATTGTCTTGCCCAATCAGAAGTCTAGGTACTTCTTTGTCGTAGACCAGCTTCTTCTTAATTTTCTTCAGGTGTTTCCAGTTTTGAAGTATTCCTTCTTCGACACCTTGCTTCGTCAACTTCAAGTTGTCGATAGTTCTCGCTTCTATGTTGAGTTTATTTCTACAATGGACCCCCTTGATCTTCATGTTGATCCTCTGGGAGTTGCTCTTCACCATTCCGTTCCCCCCAACCATCTCGATGTTGATGGCTTCCGGCTTCCCTTGCGCCCCAATCTTCTTTGCCACTGATGAGTCCAGCAGCGTGACGGTGGACCCTTCGTCCAGGAGCGCGAGCACTTTTGCTGTCCCCTTGGGCCCGTAGAGGTTCACCGGCGTCATCTTCAAGTAGGCCTTTCCGCAGCTCGTGGTGTGCACCGACGATACAACTCCTTCGGCGGGCTTCTCTTGAGTTTTTGCCGCTGCGGACTTCTCCGAGTGAAGACTGATGTGATGCCACCTCGTGCACTTCTTGCAAGGCTGTGCCCAGCATGTGTTTCTTGCGTGCTTGAAGCGCAAGCATTTGAAACACATTCTTGCCTTCTTTGCCATTTCCCATTTTCCGTCTACACTGGATTCCCTGTACCTCTTGCACTCGTACAGCCAGTGATCTTCTCGGCATTCTGGGCACTTCTTCTCGTCGGTATTCTGATCTTCGTAGTATTCCTCCGCTCGTGGGACGTGGTGGATCGGCCTCTTGAACGTGTTCCTCTTCTGGCCCCAGGACACTTCTGGGGGAGCGTAGTCGCTGTTCATATCTGCTTCAACTTCCATGAAGTCATACATAAGTTCGAGCGCTGGTTTTCCCTCTGCCCGGCGCTCACGTTGGTACATCAGCCACCGAGACTTCATGGTCGGCGGCATCTTCTCTATAAGACACTCCACGGCCCCTGGTGCGCACAAATATTCCGTCTTGCCGAGTGCCCTGATGGTGGCCACGACGTTACGGACTCGGCTGGCAAATGTGCAGATCTCCCCTGATGACTCGTTGACCTTTGGCAGCCTCTCCATCTTCTTCAACTCCGCCAGGACTATTGCTCCAGGTCTCCCGAACCGGACCTCCAGGCTCCTTTAGGAGGCATCGAATTATCATCATCATCATCATCAACAGCCCTTTACAGTCCACTGCTGCTGGACTATGAGCCTCCTCCACTATAGTGAAGGATTTTGCCATAATCCTCACGCTTGGCAGGCCTCCAACCCGCAGTTTAAAACTAAAGCCGTGTGGTGACGGCAGAGTAGAATACATTTGTCATCAACCCCTACTCTTCCCACGGGTGTCGTAAGAGGCGACATAGGGACTACACATCAAATAGAGAACGGGCAGCAGCGCTCTCTGAAAAAAAATTATAACTAAAGAAAACCCTTACCTTGGCCGGTGGTGAACTATAGAAGGCTCGTCGAACAGCGCCCAGACTCGGGGATTGAGCCTCTGCCAGACGCCTAGCTCTCCCGCCAGATACGCCTCCTCATAACCGAAGAGCCTGGCGATCTCAACCTCCGAGGGTGTGATGGGCGATCAGTAGAAATCAGTAAGATCGCCATCGCCATCGTGCACGCGGGCTGCACGCTTTGGTCGAACCTTAGGTCCACCATACACGGACAGCTAGAAGCAGCTAGTGTCTGACAGCTACAGTATTCTATGTGAACCCATACACGGAACTGCTTGAGCAGTCACGACAGCTTCTGTAGTTTGCTATGCAGTCGCATCTTGAAGCTGTCATTACTAACTACTTCAAGCTGTCCGTGTGACAGGCCAGTCAAAGTTTTACCTTGGCTGGTGGTGAACTAGAAGGCTCGTCGAAAAGCGCCCAGACTCGGGGCTTGAGCCTCTGCCAGACGCCCAACTCTCCGGCCAGGTACGCCTCCTCGTAACCGAAGAGCCTTGCGATCTCATCCTCCGAGGGCTTCTCGCTGTCGATGTCCAACTTGTCCAGGATGGCCAGGGTATTCTGAGGACAAAAGAATTAATTCAATGACATGAGAAATAAGAGATTAGGAGGGATAAAATCCGACCCAATCAGGTTTATATCACAAGAGGAAGGGTTATTTCATTGTCAATATTGAAACATAGTTTAAATAATATACTCGTAATCTACATAGAAATACCTATTCTTCTTCTTGTCGTGTCGACAACAAACCTATACAGTGTCAGCCCGAAAGCATTGTCAGTAGCATTCATTAAATTTTCCTGCCAGCTGTCGTGTGTTGTGCGTGGACAAGCAAGGCACGACATCATGACGTGCTTCATCGACTATACATAGATAGATATTTAGAATATTGTTAAATAGGTAACTTGAAAAAATGAAAATGCTTATGCTTGGTTTCGATTAATTATCCGATATTTTTATAAGTAGCTTGGTCAACATTACTCCTGTAATTGCTTTTTGGGTACCTTAACATTTTATCGCTTGTAAATTCACATAATCCCAAAATTTGTACCCTTTCAAGGAGACCCTGAGACTTGACTTGAAAAAATAACCCCTTTCACCAATATATTTCACAAACAGGTCCCTAAATAGGATAATTAAAAATTTCATAACAGTACGATAGAAATGGTATCCGCTTCAAAAACTGCAAGCCCAACTGTCCATTTTGAATTATTGTTAAACACTCATTCAATTTGCCGTCCGTCTATCTGAACATCCCAAAGTGTTCCCACTTGTAATTCTTGGCGGGTGGCAAGCGTGTGGCTAGAATGCTGATGGATGAAATACCAGCAGGAAGAATGCGGGGTGAACTATCTATGATATATTTGACCTATTCTAGCCTCGTTTAATTAGAGCCAGTTTCCAAATATCTTATCCTATTTTGGGGTGGAAAACGCAGCGTAGGACGTGGATTTAACCATGAATGGGTAAACTAAGGTCCTACAAGGTGGACCGACGACATCATAAAGGTAGTAGGAAGGCGCTGGACGCAGGCCGCTACCAACCGGGCAACATGGAAAGCATTGGGGGAGGCCTATGTTCAGCAGTGGATGTCCTATGGTTCAGATGATGATGATGATTTTGGGGTGTATCGGTCAATGAAACTTTCTTTTAAATAATAATAAATAGTTTATTTTTAAACCATGACACACAACCACAACAACTGGTAACAACATATCAGTATGAGGACGAAGGAGTAAGCTCTGCTGATCTGCTGAAAAAGCGTAAAATCCAGCTCCTTTAAATTCAGTTAGGTATTTCTGTAATTTCTTAGGATGAGTTGCACCACCTAACTTTGACCGTAACTTTAACGATAACCGGTGTTTTAGTTACATGGGTTTTGACAGATTTTTGACATTTGTCAAAGTTAAAGTATGATGGTGCGACCCAGCCTTAGAAAGACGTGTTTTTAATCTTAAGTTTAAATTATGGTAAAGCTCACGCGAAAAGGCTGGCAGTTTGGTACTGAGACTAAACATTTCTCAAACTTCTAAGATCCTCAGATTAATGCAAGAATCATAAAAAGTTGAGGGTATTAATTTAGTCAGCCTAATTAGTTAGCAAGATTTATAAAGTCTTAGGCTGAGTTGCACCACCTAACTTTGACCGTAACTATAACGATAACAGGTGGTTTTTGTATGAAGTTTGACAGATTTTGACGTTTGTCAAAGTTAAAGTAAGATGGTGCAACCCAGCCTAAAAATATCGCCTTTTCACTTACGTTGTTATTATTTTGTGTAGTAAGTATATCCAACTCGGCCTCTAACATAAAAAAGCATTTCTTTAGAACCAGTCGTCGATGTTGATCATGTATCTAAAGAGCACAAAGCGGGCACCAGACCAACGGGACTATTGTTCATTTCGTCGAATAAAAATAAAAATTCTGACAAAAGACGTTTCAAGAGATCCTCTCAAAGAGAATAATAGACAAAGTTTTGCAATTAATGCGTCCTAACGTTTTTGCTTAAACAAAAATACTCCATCTGAATTTTCTTTTGAAGTACCTCCATGATTTTTAAGATGTTTCAGAAATATATTTGTGGGTACTTCTCATTTACACTCAAATTTGTTGGTCACACAATAATAGTTCATAAACGGTATAAGTTAGAACAATAACTTTGAAATCAGATGATAAAATATCTATTTAGCTACATACCAAATAAATTTTATCGTAATAGAAGCAAAAATAATATGAAAAAATGACATGAAACGATAAAAAACGGGGTCATTTTTCGCGTTCTCATCGTGTCACACCTTCGGTTGCAATCAAACATTTGGTTACTGCATTCACAATTTTCATTCAATTTGTGTGTAGTAAAATCATCGTAATTAAATATACTTTCCACACAATAGTCAAAAAAATATCTTCTTATAATTATTTTGAATTGAGAAAGCGAAATACGTTGGTCACACGATTTTAGGTACCTAAAATTTTGAGTAATAATACAAGATTGCCGTTAAACCGAACACCAGCAACCAATCACAGCGTTCTATTCGGTTAACGTCAGTCGCGCTTCGACCATTGGGGAGGTGAGATAGGTCGATCGTCGCTCCGCGAAAAAAATACGTAACTTTTTGTGATTATCCATAGACATACCGTCGCTTGCTTGAACAATATTTTCTACCTCTAAAATTTAAACAATTTAATTGAAACTTTGCCATTGAAAACTTAACATGTTAGACTTATTTGTGTAGTATTCAACTTGAACCGTTAAATTCAAATTTAAGGATAATTCATAAAAAACTAAAATTTTCGTCACCTTCGTGGCATCACCTTCGTGGTGTTTTATACACGAAGGTGATTTTAGGCCACGAAAGTGATTTCTTGCTTTGGCCACCAGTGCAGAATGCCACCAGTGTCACCCTTAAAACCAATTGCGTAGAATCTTGTAACTTAGTAGGTGACGTAATCGGTAAAATTTTATCTTGTATCTAAGTAGGTACCCATTTATATTATGTTATTGCTATTTATCTATGAAAATAAGACAAAATATGTTTTATAAACACTTAAGAGTCATTTAGAGTAGTAAAGTTTGAAAAAATTATTGCTGTGAAGTACAGAATCACTTTCGTGGCATCAAAAAATTCAAAACGTTAAAGCTTCCAAACGAGACTCACTATTTGACTGATTTACTGAGAATACAATCTTCACATCAAGCGCTACAATTTTTGTTTACAAAAAGTTGAAATAAGTTAGAAATAAAATTCGCCACGAAGGTGACGATGAGAACCGTGGCGATGAGAAATACCCTTGTATTGCTATTTAAAATTGTGAGCAGTATTGTGAGCATTTTCGCAGAATAATATTGCTTCGTATCGTACCTACTTATTATGAATATTGTTTTCAATCGCAAATGTGAATAAATTGCCTTTAGTCTTTTCAATAACGTTCTCACTGCTGCTAGACTTTAATGTTATGTAGCTGCTCATTTCTTGTTAAACTGTAAGAGTTGGCGCACACCGTTGATTTTTCGTCGGCCGATAGTTTAGTCGGGCAGTTGATCAGTATGGGCATGTATGGGAGTGCGCACACTACGCCGATTCGATTTGGCCGATTCTTCATACAAATTAAAATCAGGCACAATTATCGGCCAACTAAAATTCAACGGTGTGCGCCTACTCTTATGTATGAAAAAGTTTATTTCTTAGGGCTAGATGGCGGTGTAAAATGCCTAAGGATATTTATTTATCAAAATATTAATAAATGGAAAGATTTGCTTAATGTTTGTAATGAATTAACTCAAAAAACTACTGGACTGATTTTGAAAATTATCTCACCATTAATTTAAATTTTATTCCTAAGTAACTGTTTTCTCCATAGCACACCATTTACGTGAAAAAACCCGTGGGCAGGAGCTGTTTATTATAAATTTAGTTTCCAGTTTCGGCCTTGTATAATTACTGTACATGTTTACTCATTATAAATAAGTCTAGACCGTATATAAATTTAAATGTACAAGTGTTATTTCAAACTTGTACAGAATGTTTAGAGCGGAGAGCTTTTAGACGCACTTAGCGAGAAACTTAGACGTGAAGCATTGGATGTGTTCCATTATTTAATGCTGAAGTTCAATAAGCTTGATGGAACTAGAACGAGTATTATGTGACTTTGCCTTGACTTTCATACAGGTCTATTCATGTTGTACAAATTCTGTTTTGGAAGAAAATGTTGCAATAATTATTAGCAGCTTTTTCAGTGTTTTAAGCATTAAAAGGTAACAGCAGAGTTACTTTCGCATTTATATTACTAAAGATCTTAAAACTTCACAATAATTTTAGTTTCTACAGTGTGTTTGGGATAGGGCTAGCGATAATTTAAGTCGATGTTGTGATGTCAATTTTATCGACAAAAATGCCCCCATATTATGTAGGCCCACCCCTTCCTCTTGGAATGGGGGGGGGGGGTTATTTTTTTTTATGTCACTTCATAAAAACTGTTTGTATTTCATATGTGTTAAATTATCACTGGCCCTATCCCAAACACAGTTTGTAGCTGGTTTTATACCAAAATAATCATTTTTTAACATAATATTAAAAGTAAAAAGCAACCTTACTAAAAATGAAAAGACTATGAAGTATAAGAATACTATAATCTAAGAAGATGTACCATCGCCAACAGTGTTAACTATCCATTGCCTGTCATGTCGTCTCGTTCTATCGCAAATAATCACCTTTCGATGAGAGCGGGAGCAAAAATGGAAATGGTTAGTTAACAGTGTGGCCGTGTGTACAAGTTACTTGTTGGTATCGTTATTACGATATACGTATTTTATACATAACATTTATCTAGCCTTGCTCAATGTCTCCTTTAAATGAATTATTTTAATCGTTTCAATCTACACAAAGTAATTTGTGAGAGTGATAAAAACGTAACAAACTTAGGCTGTTCGCTCAACGAGGTATTGCCACAGTACATGGTAACAGTAAGTTAACGTTGATTGCCGTGTAGCCAGTGGCTATTTTGTAAGTGTTGGAAAGACAGTGAGAGGCATTGAGGTGTTTCCAGCGATCTTCACCAGATT